CAGGAGAAGTCATTATCTACTCAACTCACGCATGCAGATGGCCCAGTTGGGATATATACAGGAGACGTCATTATCTACTCAACTCATGCATGTAGATGGCCCAATTGGGATATGCACAAGTGAAGTCATTATCTACTCAACTCACGCATGCAGATGGCCCAGTTGGGATATACACAGGAGAAGTCATTATCTACTCAACTCACGCATGCAGATGGCCCAGTTGGGATATATACAGGAGAAGTCATTATCTACTCAACTCATGCATGTAGATGGCCCAGTTGGTATATACACAAGTGAAGTCATTATCTACTCAACTCACGCATGCAGATGGCCCAGTTGGGATATACACAGGAGAAGTCATTATCTACTCAACTCACGCATGCAGATGGCCCAGTTGGGATATATACAGGAGAAGTCATTATCTACTCAACTCATGCATGTAGATGGCCCAGTTGGTATATACACAAGTGAAGTCATTATCTACTCAACTCACGCATGCAGATGGCCCAGTTGGGATATACACAGGAGAAGTCATTATCTACTCAACTCACGCATGCAGATGGCCCAGTTGGTATATACACAAGTGAAGTCATTATATACTCAACTCATGCATGTAGATGGCCCAGTTGGTATATACACAAGTGAAGTCATTATCTACTCAACTCACGCATGCAGATGGCCCAGTTGGGATATATACAGGAGAAGTCATTATCTACTCAACTCATGCATGTAGATGGCCCAGTTGGTATATACACAAGTGAAGTCATTATCTACTCAACTCACGCATGCAGATGGCCCAGTTGGGATATATACCGGAGACGTCCTTATCTACTCAACTCATGCATGTAGATGGCCCAGTTGGTATATACACAAGTGAAGTCATTATATACTCAACTCATGCATGTAGATGGCCCAGTTGGTATATACACAAGTGAAGTCATTATCTACTCAACTCACGCATGCAGATGGCCCAGTTGGGATATACACAAGTGAAGTCATTATCTACTCAACTCACGCATGCAGATGGCCCAGTTGGGATATACACAGGAGAAGTCATTATCTACTCAACTCACGCATGCAGATGGCCCAGTTGGGATATATACAGGAGACGTCATTATCTACTCAACTCATGCATGTAGATGGCCCAGTTGGGATATGCACAAGTGAAGTCATTATCTACTCAACTCACGCATGCAGATGGCCCAGTTGGGATATACACAGGAGAAGTCATTATCTACTCAACTCACGCATGCAGATGGCCCAGTTGGGATATATACAGGAGAAGTCATTATCTACTCAACTCATGCATGTAGATGGCCCAGTTGGTATATACACAAGTGAAGTCATTATCTACTCAACTCACGCATGCAGATGGCCCAGTTGGGATATATACAGGAGAAGTCATTATCTACTCAACTCATGCATGTAGATGGCCCAGTTGGTATATACACAAGTGAAGTCATTATCTACTCAACTCACGCATGCAGATGGCCCAGTTGGGATATACACAGGAGAAGTCATTATCTACTCAACTCACGCATGCAGATGGCCCAGTTGGGATATATACAGGAGAAGTCATTATCTACTCAACTCATGCATGTAGATGGCCCAGTTGGTATATACACAAGTGAAGTCATTATCTACTCAACTCACGCATGCAGATGGCCCAGTTGGGATATACACAGGAGAAGTCATTATCTACTCAACTCACGCATGCAGATGGCCCAGTTGGGATATACACAGGAGAAGTCATTATCTACTCAACTCACGCATGCAGATGGCCCAGTTGGGATATATACAGGAGAAGTCATTATCTACTCAACTCATGCATGTAGATGGCCCAGTTGGTATATACACAAGTGAAGTCATTATCTACTCAACTCACGCATGCAGATGGCCCAGTTGGGATATACACAGGAGAAGTCATTATCTACTCAACTCACGCATGCAGATGGCCCAGTTGGGATATATACAGGAGACGTCATTATCTACTCAACTCATGCATGCAGATGGCCCAGTTGGGATATATACAGGAGACGTCATTATCTACTCAACTCATGCTTGTAGATGGCCCAGTTGGGATATACACAAGTGAAGTCATTATCTACTCAACTCACGCATGCAGATGGCCCAGTTGGGATATACACAGGAGAAGTCATTATCTACTCAACTCACGCATGCAGATGGCCCAGTTGGGATATATACAGGAGATGTCATTATCTACTCAACTCATGCATGTAGATGGCCCAGTTGGGATATACACAAGTGAAGTCATTATCTACTCAACTCACGCATGCAGATGGCCCAGTTGGGATATACACAAGTGAAGTCATTATCTACTCAACTCACGCATGCAGATGGCCCCGTTGGGATATACACAGGAGAAGTCAATATCTACTCAACTCACGCATGCAGATGGCCCAGTTGGGATATGCACCAGTGAAGTCAAAATATACTCAACTCACGCATGCAGATGGCCCAGTTTGGATATATACAGGAGACGTCATTATCTACTCAACTCATGCATGTAGATGGCCCAGTTGGGATATACACAAGTGAAGTCATTATCTACTCAACTCACCCATGCAGATGGCCCAGTTGGGATATACACAAGTGAAGTCATTATCTACTCAACTCACGCATGCAGATGGCCCAGTTGGGATAAACACAGGAGAAGTCATTATCTACTCAACCCACGCATGCAGATGGCCTAGTTGGGATATGCACCAGTGAAGTCAAAATATACTCAACTCACGCATGCAGATGGCCCAGTTGGGATATATACAGGAGACGTCATTATCTACTCAACTCATGCATGTAGATGGCCCAGTTGGGATATACACAAGTGAAGTCATTATCTACTCAACTCACGCATGCAGATGGCCCAGTTGGGATATACACAAGTGAAGTCATTATCTACTCAACTCACGCATGCAGATGGCCCAGTTGGGATATACACAGGAGAAGTCATTATCTACTCAACTCACGCATGCAGATGGCCCAGTTGGGATATGCACCAGTGAAGTCAAAATATACTCAACTCACGCATGCAGATGGCCCAGTTGGGATATATACAGGAGACGTCATTATCTACTCAACTCATGCATGTAGATGGCCCAGTTGGGATATACACAAGTGAAGTCATTATCTACTCAACTCACGCATGCAGATGGCCCAGTTGGGATATACACAAGTGGAGTCATTATCCACTCAACTCACGCATGCAGATGGCCCAGTTGGGATATACACAGGAGAAGTCATTATCTACTCAACTCACGCATGCAGATGGCCCAGTTGGGATATGCACCAGTGAAGTCAAAATATACTCAACTCACGCATGCAGATGGCTCAGTTGGGATATATACAGGAGACGTCATTATCTACTCAATTCATGCATGTAGATGGCCCAATTGGGATATACACAAGTGAAGTCATTATCTACTCAACTCACGCATGCAGATGGCCCAGTTGGGATATACACAAGTGAAGTCATTATCTACTCAACTCACGAATGCAGATGGCCCAGTTGGGATATACAGAAGTGAAGTCAATATATACTAAACTCACGCATGCAGATGGCCCAGTTGGGATATACACAGGAGAAGTCATTATCTACTCAACTCACGCATGCAGATGGCCCAATTGGGATATGCACAAGTGAAATCATTATCTACTCAACTCACGCACGCAGATGACCCAGTTGGGATATACACAGGAGAAGCCATTATCTACTCAACTCACGCATGCAGATGGCCCAGTTGGGATATGCACCAGTGAAGTCAAAATATACTCAACTCATGCATGCAGATGGCTCAGTTGGGATATGCACAAGTGAAGTCATTATCTACTCAACTCACGCATGCAGATGGCCCAGTTGGGATATGCACAAGTGAAATCATTATCTACTCAACTCACGCATGCAGATGGCCCAGTTGGGATATACACAGGAGAAGTCATTATCTACTCAAATCACGCATGCAGATGGCCCAGTTGGGATATGCACCAGTGAAGTCAAAATAAACTCAACTCAAGCATGCAGATGGCCCAGTTGGGATATATACAGGAGACGTCCTTATCTACTCAACTCATGCATGTAGATGGCCCAGTTGGGATATGCACAAGTGAAATCATTATCTACTCAACTCACGCACGCAGTTGACCCAGTTGGGATATACACAGGAGAAGTCATTATCTACTCAACTCACGCATGCAGATGGCCCAGTTGGGATATGCACCAGTGAAGTCAAAATATAATCAACTCACGCATGCAGATGGCCCAGTTGGGATATGCACAAGTGAAGTCATTATCTACTCAACTCACCCATGCAGATGGCCCAGTTGGGATATGCACAAGTGAAATCATTATCTACTCAGCTCACGAATGCAGATGGCCCAGTTGGGATATACACAGGAGAAGTCATTATCTACTCAACTCACGCATGCAGATGGCCCAGTTGGGATATACACAGGAGAAGTCATTATCTACTCAACTCACGAATGCAGATGGCCCAGTTGGGATATACAGAAGTGAAGTCAATATATACTAAACTCACGCATGCAGATGGCCCAGTTGGGATATACACAGGAGACGTCCTTATCTGCTCAACTCATGCATGTAGATGGCCCAGTTGGAATATACACAAGTGAAGTCATTATCTACTCAACTAACGCATGCAGATGGCCCAGTTGGGATATACACAAGTGAAGTCATTATCTACTCAACTCACGCATGCAGATGGCCCAGTTGGGATATACAGAAGTGAAGTCAATATATACTAAACTCACGCATGCAGATGGCCC